CACCTCGGCCAATCCCTGCCTCGCTCCTCCCCGCCGCGACCAATCCCCCCCTGCTGTTTGGCACCGCCCTGCAGACCCTGTCAGCGGCCTGGCGCACGCGTGGCAGCGCCTTGCTGTTCTCGTGGACCCGCGAGGGTGGCGGCCTATGAGGCGCCCTCCCGCGCTCACAGGCGGCGCTGGGGCAGCCCTCGCAGTTCCCCCGCAGAGCTGCCTTGGTGCCCGCGCGGGGTCACCCGAGTCTGCGCCGTCATTTTCAAGGACCCTCTGGGCACCTCTACACGTGCTGGTTCCCCGACCCGGCTACTGTGCCCTGCGCTAGTGTTCTGAATTGGTCGTTGTTTTAACGTGTGCTGCTTAGACCGGTCCCATTTGTCCATTTTGTTATCTACCAAATAGGTAACGGAGTTGGAGACTGGAATACTACCGGTGTGCGTGAAGTTAAAAAAAAAAAGCCAGAATTAGAGTTGCCAGGCTTTATTAAAAGTGGCAGTCATGTACCACAGTACTTCATTTTGATTGATATATTTATGTAGTTTGCTGTTCCCGCTCCTGTTGGCTCATCTGCATGTGTTTGAACTTCCCCAGTCTAGGCAGGGGAAAAAGAAAACAACCAGCGCGGCAAAAACAAAAGCAGATGGAGCATGTTTGAATGATGCCAATATTATTATAATGTTCAGTCTTTCTACCGATGTCCAAATTACATCTCCAGTGCAGCAAAACTGGGATTCCCTGGCAAAATGCACACTGCGCGTTCATTTTCCTCCAAACTGGGTTTCCCTGGCAAAGAAGTGCGTGTCGCACATTTGTTTTTTCTCCAGTCTAAGCTATGGGCATTTTAAAAAACACTTCTCCACGGTTGCTAATGGGAGTTTAGCTCCACCAATGTTAAGTCATGATTATATGGTTGCTTCTGCTGGTCTTTTAAGCTCTGCTTCAGGAAACAGTCTAAGCCTGATCTAGATCAACACGTTTTGCCTTTTGTCAGCACAGCCACGTGTGCATCCATACTCGTTTGAGTTCTGCCAGTAAAACCCTGACTTTCTGTCAGTCAAGGTAAGCTGTCCCTGGAAATTATATAAGTCTTCTCATGCAGCATTTGTCAACACATGGGTCACAACCCAAAAGTGGGTCTCAAGAATATACAAAAGGGTCACGAACAAACTTTTAAAAAAATGGATCAACAAACTTCTAAAATGGATTCTCCTGTAAAAGAGAAAAACATGGGAAACTGCAGGTTTCGCCC